GACTATGTCAGTGCAGAAGCAGAACATTGTGCGGTTTTCTGCTACACGGTAATTAGTGTAGCTATGTCACTAGACCACCAGACTCTAAGGTACACAAGTGAGTAGGACCTTAGTTTGAAATTTTATCTATAGTTAAGTTAGGTTAGAACTGTATTACTCATTGATCAACTTTGATCAGATCGTAATGATAGTAAATATCCTACGGGGAGTTTAATAAAAAAAAATCTAACCTTATCAGGTCAGGGTGAAGATCACAGCAAGATGGATTTAGCGTAATGGCATGCAAACGGACTGAACTTACATATATCTACAAGAAGAAGTTGGTGTGTACACACTGGATAAAATTCATTCAAACAAGTTCATTAACATACACACTTCATTACAGAAACGTGTTTGATTGAATTACATATATCTACTTGGAACTTGGACCTCTGTTTTGAGTCGATAATTTTACTATCCTATCAAATGCAATAACTTATATTATAGCAAAACTTTATATTTTTTATTTACTTTCTTCTTATAACTTTTTCGGCAATGAATTAACGTAAATTACATTAAGTCGTTAGTATTTCTGAAGCCTGAATCAACACAAAAATATACCGATTATACGTGTGCTCTTGTTTTGAAAATCATTTCTATTTTAACCAAAATCTAAGCGTTCCCGGGATTTCCCCATATGTACAAATATTGTCCGTAATGGAATCATTAACCTAATTGTACGTACGTAAGTTCTTCTTGGCAAGCAGCAACACAAAAGCGGACTTTAACCAATCATTCAGTATAATTTCCGTTTCGTATATGGGTCAAAGCAGTGAGTTACTGCTCCGATTCCTCCATCCTTCAGTAACTCGAGTACTTCAGCTTTCATTTCATGAGGATCCGTCGCCTGATTATTTTTCGTTCGTTGTATCGCTCGTCGTTTATTTTGTCCTTCAATATTGTTGGTTCAGTGAACACCATGTCAAGGTCTGGCTATTTTCATTTATTTTCAGATTTTAAATTATAACTGTTAAATTTTAATCTTAGACGGATCATTTGGCAGAATTGAAGTACGAAAAGCGATTTAAGTTTTTCTTCTATGTTTTAATATTTTCTCACAAATTCTGAAAATATGGAGAATATGTTGAAAACAGTTCCTATTATTTATATCACTAAGCCCAGTCGCTTCATAGGTAATTTACAGCCCTAGTTTCCCAGAAAATTGTTTCCGACGTACTCTAATATAATTGTTTGCGGTTTTCCTAAACAGTTCCGCAATGAAAATCTAACAAAGCATCAACAAATATAAGTGACTTTAATTATTAGGTTTTTTGTTGCTCCTCCATCTTATAAATGTATTTTATTTCTAGGTGGTGAAAATGTTTATTCTCGTTGTTGTAATCTTCGGGATCTGCTGGCTTCCATATCACGGATATTTTATCTACGTATATTTCGATACGAAAGTCATCTACAACAAGTACACTCAGCATGTCTTTTTGTCATTTTATTGGTTTGCAATGTCCAATGCTATTGTAAATCCAATGATTTACTACTGGATGAATGCGAGGTAAGTATTAGAATTATTATATTTAATCGGGTGATATCATAAATCGTTTGTTAGTTATTCAATATGATATATAAACTCATTTCTAAGAAAATTGCCATCACTGTTTTTTAGTTCATGAATAAAATTATACATTAGACAAATACTGGAACGTTCCACTTAAAATCGCTATTCCATTTACTCCTGCATAACATACACGTGTGGCCTGTTCACAAATATTTGTTTCCGACCAGTGTTAAACTTTAACCGTACAGACAGGAAAGTTTTTCAATTTAAAGTAACAACTTTTTTAAGTTTCCAAAACTAAAATCGGAAGAAATAACTTTGTTATGCTTCTAAATGTTGATCTACACCGACAATTATAGCGTCATGTTTCCTAGTGGAAAAAAACTACTAATTATTCTTCTCTACTTCTCATATATTCAGTAACCCTCAGCAGCTCTGTTAGACGTCCAAAACTTTTTAATTCCATCGTAGTCAACTTTTGCAGTTATTCAATAAATTGCAACTTGATAACTTTTAAATTCAGTATGTCTTTGGCAAAAAAAACTGGCACTTTGTCCCGCTTGCCGTCCATTCTCTTGCGTCTTTAAGGACACTTCAAACGTTCAAAGTTTAGTTTAACATATCATGAATTGCATAAGAAATAAATTCAGCTTGGTTAAAATTGGTAACTTAAATATCGAATGTAGTATGGCTTTTTCTCGTTTCGCTCTATTTTTAAATTGTTCGAAGATATTTTAAGAACCGACTAATTTTTATTGGCACTGGCACCTATACAGTAACTCCCAAAAGTAGTGTCCAAATTAATATGGACGCCTCAATTTTTATTTGGAAGTGCGGTTTTATTTTTCACACATCTTTCATACAGGGTGTCTAAGTATGATTCAGGTAACATGTGCTATTCTTAAACTAAACAGTTAACATAAAACTTACAATTCGAGCTGTCAATACTTAATAGCAACAAGTTCTCTCAATGCTCTGTAGTCCTGAAAAGGACCGATTTATTTCAAAAAACAGAACGCCAATCAAATTCAATGTAAAAAATAAGTGCAATTTCCGGCTTGTCAACATCCAAGGGGATCCAAAAATCCTTTTATTTAATTTTTAACCAGTTCCGGATTTATGACAGGCACTTATTATAGAACTTTGCCTATCTATAGAAATTGCACGTACCAACTATCAACCCGCAAATCTCAATATTTAATTTGCAATAAACAATTAAAGTTGTAACCGCAGGCGGTACGCGAATACGGCTTGTCGTTGAATTGTCTGGGTGTTTGACTGTTCAGAATTCGCGCTGAGCTTTATTAATAATGGAAGCAACACAAAAATTATATTATATTACAAATTGTAGATAAGGTCTATATTGTTGAGGCAATCCTGTTTGCCACATAAGTAGTCCATCTGTTTGGAGTACCTCTGAGCCAACAAAGAACAATAGTGGAATCTGTCCATAAAAACACCTTGCCAGTTTTCAATTTGAGAGCTGGAACAACACGATGAACCAACCTAGATAGAAGCAAAGCGCCACATAGCTCAAGTCTTGGCTAGCTCACAGTTTTAATGGGAGCTATGCGGGACTTTGAACAAAGAAGATTTGAAGACACTGATTTATCTTCATAAATTGCTCTGATATAGATACAT